ACAGAAAATTCTCCCTTCCCTTCTATCCTTCGTCCAGGAAAAGAGAATATTAGACACCCAGAGTATGGTTTCACAGAATTTAAGGCCCACCCCCAAGACATTGCCTATACCATGGGGTTGAACATCTCATGGCAGAAGACCAAGCTCCAGAACCTTTGGAGCTGGGCCACCAGAATTGACGGGGGGTCATGTACCATGGAGAGTGTTGATGAAGCAGAGTTCAACAGTTGCAGCAAACTGGATATTCAACAAATAGGGTTTGCCACCTTCTACATGAAGTCCAAGGCTTGCCAATGGATGCAAAAACATGTTTGTGCTGAGACAAAGTTCAGGGTCTATCAACCCTGCATACTACAGTACTTGTATTGCTATATGGGTCAGAAACCTAAAACCTCTTACAGTCAGTCAGACTTGGAGTGGCTAGAGGCATTCCATATGTGCGGTCAGCACCAGATCCTGAGGATGAAGTGGCTTGACTATGAGAAAAGTCAATCTCACAGAGATCTGGTCTTCTTTCAGTTGCTCATGACATTTAGAAACAGCATTGTGTGCTTCAGCCCTGTCTCCAGAATGGACAAAAATATCTGAGCACACTGTGCTCTCAAGCTCTCCATCAAGGAGCAAAGGGGTGGATGCCCTGACCCCACCTGGCACCACCCACGGGGCTGCCCCAGAGATTTGTGAATTCACAAGATTGAACCAGATCTGGGCACTTCATTACACAATGCCTGGAGTGACACCACCAAGCATGGTAATTCTGCCTGATGCAACTGTCCTCAGTAGACTCTGCGTACTTGATGATAGCTGCGTACTTGAGGATCTGGTACCTTTTCTTGTTGATCAAGGCCACTGATATCTTGCAACACTTTCACAGGTACATCTTGGCTTATCAGGGATGAAGTTAGCTCTTAGGACATAACTGATAGCACTCTGACCATGATCAGTTGATCCTGTGTTGGAGGTCTGTTCTTCCAGTACACCTGAATGAAATGGTTCCCTGCATGGGCTGGAATTTCAAGGGGTAGTGGTTCTGTGCTAATAAAGGTTGTTAAATCTCAGGCCTTCAACACTGTGTGTACCCTGCCCTTACAGGGTTCCCTCCCCCTTCTGCATAAGACAGAAGGAGAATGGCTTCTGTGTCCTGAGATATCACTGAAGAGAAATCTGAAGGGAAACACACACAAGCTGCTATGCTATAGAAATAAGTAATATTTGAAAGGTTCACTCTTGAGATGATCTTTAAGTGAGCTCCTTGAACTTTATAGAGGTTTCCTAAGCCCCTGCTCAAGGGAAAGATAAGGGAAGCCTTCACGTGGAGCATACCTGTTGTTCCACTGAATACCATAATGAGCAAAGCAATGTTACATATGCAACCACATGACCACAGTCAACAAGACAGTCACATAAGGGCTGATTCAAACCTTAAGGAAGAGTGGGAAAGCGTTCAGAAATAATAGACCAAAAGACCCTTACCACCTACTAACTGTCTGAAAGGCTCTCCCTTTTGTCCCTCCAGAGCTGGCTGTTCAGAAGAAAGCAATAAAACGGAGGGACACAGCTGACCCCCAGATAGCCTAGGCATTTTTGCACCCTTCTGCCTGCTTCTCTACTCCTCTGGTTGTTTCTGAGGTGCTCCAAGCAGAGAAACCTGCCCAGAAAGCTGGAGCCAGCTACCTTATTAGAAGGGATGTCTACAAGAAGCTTGCCACAGAGCTCCTAAGGCTAAGTAACAGCCCAGTAACTCTTAGAATCCAATCAGCCAAATATTAAAACCAAAAGGGGATTATTTGTATTGTTTTCTTGTTGATCTGAGCAGCAGGTCTCAAACCTTCTTGCAGCTGCTGGTGACAGACTGATATGGCGAGGTGTTCACAGGTGTGGCCACTCCCAGCCTGGCTTTTCTGGGGAAGTAACACATGGCCAAAGGCTTTACCAACTAGCCAGTGAAAACAGAGCATAATACTTTGTAGTTGTTCATATTACCATTTCATTTCCTAGAACATGAATGACCATCCTGAAACAGACTGGAGTTCCTGTTGTGCTTACTTTTCTAGAATTTTATATCAAGGATAGCTAGTTTACTTAGAACTAGGTGAAATCTAGTCACCTGGTAACACATTAGTAAAGGACACAGCACTTGTCTTATCTGTGATCTGTTAAATTGCCTGAACCTGAAGGTCCTGCAATCTTATAGAATCATTTATCTAAACACAGATGAGCAGACTTTCACAATCCCCTCCGCACCCCACAAAAGAATTCTGACCATTTTGTCTTTTCATATCTCAAAGATGAGTCAAAACACACTCCTCTACCACACCCGCAAAAAACCACACACTGTTTTCTTTTAAAGCTTTAAGATCCTTGAAAGGGCCTGTTTCTCCGGCAGCAGAATGGAAGGCACTGCTCTTTTTAAAGGCACAGACTGTATTTCCCTTTGGCTGGAATTTCTCTGAAGCAAAATACGTCCCAAGGGTACAGGAAACTAGAAAGTACTGCTGGATTGTTTTCACAAATTGTTTTCAAATGCTTTTAACAGTATTTGGAATCTTAATTCTTTGCAGGGTCAGAGCTAATGCACGTAATTAATTTTACACACATGAATATCCTCATTGAGCCCAACGGGACTGCTCAGGTGTAAAGATAAGCACAGATGGAATTCTGCAGAATTGGGATTTTAAAGGATCTTCTTTCCCCAAGCCTCAGACACTGAAAGGCCTTGCTCACTTAATGTAACCACCTCCATTTTGGCACAACCACCTCAGTACAGCTCCCGTGAAACACCCTATTTTCAAGGATTTATAGTGGTATAAATACTTCAGCATGATTTTACAAAAAGCAGCCTGCAAGGTCTCAGCTGGAGAGTAGGCATGTTTTCACATATTTAAAAATTCAAGAAGGTCAAAACAAACAGAAGATTCCTGGTTTTCGATACAGTTTTTGCCCTTGTGCAATTTTGAACAGCTTTCTGTAGAAAATTTGGAGGATCTTCATTCAAAATACAGCTGTTCCCTTTAGACATTGTCAGTGATGTTGTGAACAATGTTGACCTACAATGAAATGAAGGCAGCACACACACTAGTGCTTTCCATAAGGAAATTATGGTCAGTGTACAGTGACAGTTCTGTATGCCCGTTGAGGTAGAGCAGAAGAGATGCAATCCCAACACAACACAAAGCATGTTCATCTCAGCTGCAAAGATGCATTAGTAAAAATAATTTAGTCAGTGATACTGAGTAAAACAAAAATCTGAAGCAAATGCCTAATAAGCCAGGAGAGGCACAGCAAAATGATGGTCCACTGGCACAATAAGCTGCAAAAAGCCAAGGATAAGGTGCGTGCTCTGCAGACCTTAAATAAAAGTTTTTGATACATAAACAAGTATCTGGGAACTTGGAGTTTTCCTCTGCATTCATGTAATTCTGAAAGTCCTGAAAGGATTTCATAAAGAAGCAGCAAAGTAGGAAGCCTTCTCCATTTCATCAACTAAGAAAAACAGATGACTATCCAGTGTTGACAAGCACATCACCATAATACCACGATGCAAAAAAATGTGAAAGCCATAGTTCAATTCTTGCTATTAGGCAGCCTTACCTTGAGCATTCAGCAAATATATCCAGATGCTAGGACATTATACAAAATAACATTTACCTTAATACACTTTGTGCCTTAAGGAGATGTGACACCTATAAATCTAAGTAATGCTGGGCAACAAAGATTTAATGTTAAACTATTTTGTTAAAATAATCATAGCTGATTTTCAAAAATATGCACATTCAGTTTGTGCACCTAATTTGCACATGCAGTTACTACAACTACATGTGTAGAACTGTCAATTTGTATTTGCAAACAATAATCAAGATGCAGACCTTACCACTTGCACAAAAAAATCTGATTTGTCCAGGCAATCACTAATTATATAGACCAAGTAAGCAAGAAATTGCACATATGCTTTTGAAATTCAGGGCGTAGGAGCATATGTTAAATGCTCAAACCACCAAAAATAATTATAGCTAAAATACTCTCCAAAAACTACATCACTATGTGAAAGCTTCTTCAAAGATTTAAATGGTTTCTAGGGTGCAAGCAGGTACAATCCCCCAGCACAATGAGGTCAAGGAGACAAAGCATCTCTGGACTTTGAACCCCTGGGTTTAGGTGGTTGCCCCTGAAACTTATTTGAACATTATCATCTAAATGAACTGCCAGTTAATTGTTTACCTATTTTGAGAATGCCCCGGGGAGTTTCCAACAAATTAAATACATTGTCTTTAAGGAGGAGAAATCTGCACTGAATTGCTGCCTCTGTTTAGAATTAGATATTTAGAATTTACACCTATAAACTCTGGTCTCTGATAAGGACTTATTGCCACCTAGTGGATTACTTACATTTAGTCCTCAGATACACTAATTACCACTAGATGGAGATGAAAAATAAGCCATTACTAGTGAAGTAACTGGATTCTGAAAGTCCTGAAGCTAAGATTCTTAAAAATGCCCCAAATCCACTATCACTTAAGCCAGGCACCAGCTCCCTTCATCTCCTTTGAAAATCCTGGTCTGCATGACTAGGAGAACGTCTGCAGATAAGACCACATCTCCATGGGAAGAGTACTGCTAGTTAAGCCAGCAAACTCTATAGGGTGGACGCAGTTATATTGGTATAGAAGTGTCGTACCAGATCAAGTGAATCTACACTAAGGGTTTTTCCAGCATAGCTATATCAGGTGTAAAAAAAAAATCCATGCACATAGCTGACATAGCTATGATGGCAACACACAGTACAGACCAGGTCGAGGGCACTGTTGTCGGGGTAGGGGGAGAATTCTTCCTGAAAGTGGAATGCCATGCTCCTTAAGTGAACATTTTTTTTTACTGCATTGCTCTTCAAAACTTCTACACTGAAGTACTATTTCAATTCACTGGCAACCTCAAAACAAACAAAGCTGTCAGTCAATGAAAAAGAAATGCAACCTGGTCATGTGAGAAAGAAAGGTACTTACTGCCCACAGAGTTCATGGGAAGCACAGGTGAGGAGAAACTCATCTGTTCGACATCTGTAGCTAATAAGAAAAAAATTGTTTAGGCACTTGCATTTCTTTAAAATAGAAATTGCCATATTTAATTTTGAAAGTTAAATAAATGTATGTTTACACTCATATGTCCATCTCTCCATCCCCCATTTTCATCGTATTAGACAGTTGCATATAAAGGCTAATTTAAATTGTTATATCTGAGAAAACAAATTTGAGTATTAATTTTTTCCTCCCTAAATCCCCCTAAAATTGACAGATCTCCAAACTGAGACATTACACACATGTACGCTGCCATGTTGTATATGTTTGCCTGGGCATAAAATATTTAAATTATTTTAACATTAACTTTGGTATTTCGACACTTGAATGCTTATTTATGCAACCTGAACATTCTTGTAAATGTAGCTTTTTGGATGGAATTTTCTAGATTGTCAGTTTTTTAAAAAAAATAAATAAAGATATGAAAAGTACCTTTACTCTGCAATGTTGCCAATTTACAACAAGCAGCTAAATTCCATAATCTCAACTATATATAGTTTACCACCAGTGAAAGCGCACACCCCAAAAGTCATGACATTGGCCTAAAAATTATATTAAAAATAATGTATTTGTGGGATTTTTATATGCCTGGTTTTGAGAGACTTTGGAGGGAAGCCACTAAAGTAGCTGGAAGGAAGACTGCACTTACCCTAACCCCAGAATACAGATTCAAGCAGACATCACTGCAATGCTCAGTTGTGCCTGATTCATGTTTTCAAGCTTCTCTATTTAAATACTAGAAATTTAGTCATTTTCATTTGAAAAGGGAGCATCACATGACTTCAGGCGCTGGGGTTTGAATAAAAAACAGTAAGTATTACAAGACTTGCACAAAAATCTGAGAAATGTCAAAACTGTGGAACGCCTTAGGAGTTAAGTTTGTCCTTCTGAAAACTTGAGTTGTACAAAGCCATCTTAAACCTTACAAAATGTAGCAGCCCACCCTAACCATTTCACCCCATCAGTATGCCACACATGCATGCACAGTCTTAACTATACTCTTTGACCTTACTAAAAGTATCAAAATGGACTTACTACACATCCTGTGAGAGGGTCATAGCTTTATCTTATGCAAACCAAATGTTTCCAGAAAAATCAATTGTGGCTATTTCAATGCAAGTTTAACTTTCTGCAGTAGAAAGTGCTGGGCTAAAAGTAGTCAAAGGAAGCTCAACAATTCTTTCACATGGAGAAAGTATTTCACTCTCTTTACTAATAACTTAAACAACTGAACCAGTTTTACTCCAAGTTTGCACACACAAAAAGACCAAAAACAAAAATTACACACCACACCACCAACCCTGCCTTTGAGCCGAGACCAAGACTGGAAAATTTCAGCAAGTCATAAGCCTCTGGAAACAGGTTGGGTGAAAACAGTTACGCAACTGAAAGTGCTGTAGCAGCCAATGCCACTCTCCCGATAATAAACATACAAGCACAAATACACCTTATATTTAGTTTGTCAATGTCATGTATTTTTAAATGTTTATTCTACAGCAGAAAGTTACCTTTACTGTATTTCTTCATGTCATTTTATTAATATCTCACCAATGTACCAAAAGAAACTAGCACTCCAGTTAGGATTTTTTATTTAAGCAATATTATTTTACCTTCCATCCCCTTTAAGAGATTTCTATCTTCCATACCCACATGTGCTATTGTTTCCAGACCTGCTTGTTAAAGCATTCATTTCTCTAATCAGATAACAGGCATTTGTAACTGTCTCTGAAAAACAACTATGTTTTCATCAGTTTTCAAAGAATTCCTAAACTCTAGGCTCCATCAGCTTTAAATTCTACATATTAACCTCTGAAATGGGTCAGTACTAGAAATGGCAGAAAGGGTCAAGAAAATGAGATCCAAACAAGATCTGGAGCCCCTTCAAAAGGATTCTTATCAGAAAGGAGATCCCCTTCAAAACACTGCATAATGCAGGGGCCCTCTCCCAACATTTGATCAGCAGCTTAACCAAAAGTAGTTTCCCTCCAGTACAAGGAAGCCCTGAGCTTGTATCAGATATAGAAGAATATTATACAGCTGGGAGAGGAAGCTAGACTCATTTCTTACCCTATGCTAGGAAAGAGGCGCCAAGGTTAGAGATGGGTTTGACTCCAGACAGGAGCCCTAACTTTGGAGAAGTTTACATCTGGGAAGGACCCATCTACCAGAAATAGGTTCAGTTGTGATCATAGATCAGATAAAGCCTTCTAGTCTCACTTTAGAAATCACTGTCAACAGGGATTTGTTTTTGAAAAGCAAGTCCAGGATTCCCAGGCATTGTATCATATTTCTTCCTGCCCCCCAGTAATACTTCCTATATTTTACCTTTTCATTATGGTCTGGATATACAGGTTTGTGACTCTGCTTTTATAGAGTTATTTGAATTTGTCTCTTCTTCACATCCCCATGATCTCCTAAGGCCAGCAAGCAGGAGAATCTCAAGATTATCAGTTTTCTTGCTGGTAGATTATGTCCCATATCTATCCGTAAAACCAAACGCAATGCAGCAATATACAACACTCCATTCCTAAACCATTAGAACTCACTCCTGGCAGCATACCTTCATAACACAATACAAGGGTCTGTATTTGGCCAAGTCTTTCCTGCATTTTATCTTCCTATTTTTCCAATTTATTCGCTGGTGGACTAATAAACGATTGAAGACAGACAGTATTGCTGCTCCTGGTGGGTGTTTATACATCTGTTTGTAATGTGAAATGTGTCCAAATGCTACAGTAATGAGGTACACTACAGCTACAAATGTTTAAGCGTTTACAACAGACCATTCTTGTAGGAAACAGCAGATGTGCACTGTGGGCAGAGCACTGTAGTTACACTGCCCATCATTCCCTACTTAACTCTAGCTTCACTTCTCAAGAATGTTTGGCTTCTACCCCTACTTTGTCTTAGTACATGGAATGAGAATAGTGATAACATACTATATGAAGCAGCAGTCATGGACAAAAGAATGTTAAGATGAAGACTATTAGTGGGAGCTTAGGGTTCTCAAAGGCGTCCTGCTACACTCCAGTGGGGGACAGGAGAGACATTTTACTGCCCAGATCTGCTGAGTATTCATTTATATCTGAGTTTATTCTTCCTGGCATTTCTGACACCAATCTTTTGGAACACTGCTTGGTGATACTGCACTTTCAGTTTCAATGATCACATGCTCATGTTATGCAACAGTTTTCCAAGTTTTCTAGATAGTTTATATTACTCTTATGGTTTTTTCTACCTTGTGTGTCCCCATCTCCTCTCAGTGACTGAAGTGTTGGCCCTTTGAAAGTGCACTAACCATACCTTTACCTTCTTGTTAGCTATAAATCAATATGTATTAAATTAGTTTATGTTAGATGACTGGGAAGAGTTTCATCTAAGACCATCTTCATATACTGCTGAATTGTAACATGAAAACCTAAGCACAAGTATAAAAGTGACAATTGGCTGAAGATGTTGGAGGGGTAAGTGCACACTAATATTTAAATTGGCATGGGGACAACTCCTTTAGCTTTCAAAAAGGCTAAAGTAATGGGTCAACAGATGGCCATCTGTAAGTTACCTGCTGCTGTTTGCAGGAGGAGGGGTCAGCTGCCTTCTGAGTCAGTCAGATGGCAGAGAACAGGCTCAGCTAGAAGTGGTCAGCAACATAAGGGAAATGACATCTGAATAACTGCCTCACTTAAAGCAGTAAGCTACACCTGCAAACATCTGTAATAATTTACAGAGTTTCATTCTACAATATGAAAGCTTACTTGATTAAAACTACCCCTCTTACAAGACAAATGCAGTGAGGTATGCATTTCTTTAAGGATCTTGGTTTTAGATTTTCAAGTCAACAAGTTTTACAGGTTATTCAGCTTAATGCCACAATGACATTGCTCTCATAACCTTCAAATAGAACATTAAATAGTTTGTTACGATAATTATGGTTTGTGGTAGATTTCCTTGAACACTAAGGTACTGTTGTGCACTTTTGTTCCATTTAACAAGTTTAAAGATGTGCAGCAATCACATTATTGCTGCAGATATTTTACAAATAGTAGTACAATAAACAGTGAAAAAATTAGTCCTGCTCAGCCAGTGGACTACATGCCAAACTTATATACACAGAAAATCTGCAGATTTTCTGTACAACATATCAAAAGTTAAAATGTTTAACATTTAGAGCAAAATTTCTATTCTTGTACCATTAGCATAGTGATGTTCAGAGCAAAACAAATTCCTGATATTGCTTTTAAATCATAATAAACTATGCACTTTAAAGTTTTAATTTCAATAATGTTTTACTCTCCTCTGCTGCTTACAAGCACAAATTTTACTCCACTTTCTCAAGGAGTGTTGGATTTTAAGCATGTATCATTTATACTAAGCTAACAAAAAACCCACAAAACTCCATTTTCAACAGAAAGCTCCTAAATATACAAGATTGCTGGTTCTTCCTCCCCACCTTTGTACTCCTGTAATTCATTACATACAACATGTTTAACTTTTAAGAACGGCTTAGCTAAGAGGGGGTGAAGTGGAGAAAATATGGATTTATAGACAGTTAAAATTTTGGAAACCGGTTTGTTCTAAAAGATGATGAAAAGGACAAAATATGTGCTTGATTAAGAAGAACAGCTGTTGCCAGTCCAACTACTTACCCCATGACCTTTTCTCTAGCCAATAAGCGAACAGTGCCGATTGTTTTGTTGTATTCTATACTGTTTACAAGCCCAAGTGGCATGAAAGGAATTAATAATTTAGCTCATGGAGCTGATGACCTTTATTACGGTGCCTCCTATTTACTGAGCAGAAATCAGAGCGAAGAGCTGCCTTTAAGCCACAGGGTTGCTTTAAGTGTTTCTCATTTTACAGCCTAATTGGGTACCATAACATAAATCAATTATTTCTCCTGTTTTAAGCAGCAATACCATCTATTCTTAAACTGTTAGATTTCCAGCTTCCCTTGTATTAGGCCAGGCCTTGTTCTTCAAGTTTTACAGCTGTATAGTAAACACGATGATGAAGAAAAGCTTGGTGAGCATTGCAGGATTAGGGCCAACAAGAAAAAGTTATGCTGTTTTGAACTTCTCTTGACCTTTGATTGCCCTTGTCCCCACTTATGCTAATCGAAGGGATATATGGAGGCTACTCATAGAAATGAACTTAGCCTGAACCTGTGACATAGCATTGGACTTTGAAGATCTCAGCTCTGAGTGTCTGAGTAATGCTACATAAGGTCGTCATCTTTCTAAGTGTAGAGAGGCTATAGTAGTTAGGACATGGCACTCTGAGCAGATGTTGGTTATTTCTACATCAGCAGGCAGAACAGCATGCAAGTTACACTGTACCTCTCTCACAAACAGTTGCCAAGAACATTGAAAATTTACAAGGATCTCACACCTACATCTGTATTAAGCATCTGTGGCTTGGCAAAGAGACTCCCACACACCAGGAAGCAACACAGGAATCTTAAGTATTGATAGCAGCAGGAAGGCAGTTAAGATGCCAACCCTTCTGGAATATAGAACGTAAACAAACGTTTAAATAGAAACATTCCAACCTTATACACTGCTGAAGTGGAAATATGCAACAGTGTAGCAGCCCAAGGATATCTCAAGAGCTGAAGTTGAGGGGTACACGCGCACACACACACCCCCTACACCATGGTGGGACATCTAGTCTCACCTGATGAATATAAAGACAAGTGATCATTCGAGTTATTTTTCACTACATAAGCTTTTTGCATTACCTTTCACCAGTACAGGATCTCTCAGAGCCAGGCTTACTTTCCATTTATGAACACAATGGATTCCAATGAAGTGAGCTGTAGCTCACGAAAGCTCATGCTCAAATAAACTGGTTAGTCTCTAAGGCGCCACAAGTCCTCCTTTTCTTTTTGCGGATACAGACCAACACGGCGGCTACTTTGAAGAAAGATCCATAACAGTTTGACACACCCACAATGGGTGCAGAAGTACATATCTACACTTGGTTCTTGAAATGATGTGTTGCACTGGAATGCAAAGGAGATAAAAGCTGCAGTGCTGCTGGCTTTCCCGGAGCCGAGTACAGAAGCTGTGGATCAGACTTTCTGAAGCGTGCAGTATGTCACTGAGAACATTTTGGGCCCTCAGCACTTTTGATGTTGTGACCGCTTTGCTACTTAAGTGGGAGTAGCTGGGAAGTGAGTTCTTTTGAAAGTCTGGCCCACACGTGCAAATACTCTGTGTTATGAGTCAGTCATCACTTGATATAGCAAAGCAAAAACAGAGCTGCTATGGGTTTGAGTTAAATTAGTAATACTATATCCAAGTGCCCTCTATTTAGGGACTTTTGTAGTCCACAATTCTACAGAACGTGCTACATTTGTTTTCTAGAATCAAAAGCTTTCATTTAAAAAATTAAGCCACTAGCCCCTGGTTGCCACAAGAACTTTCAACTGTAACCTCAGTGTAAATCAATGCAAATTCAGTCATTTATCACCACAGACAATGTGAAATAGTCACTCTGAGATGTGCCCTGGGCATTCAGCTATATGAAATGAGATCTCTGAAACCCAATGAGGATAATTCAAATCTAAATAGTTAAATATTTCACTGCTGATCATTTTAGCAAAAACACCCACTAATTTTCTTCCTCTATAAATGGGAGGCAATACCACTCATCTTCCTCAGAAATCACTAAATGATGTTGCTTATGGCAGGTAATATTCAGAAATGTAAAGCACTTCCCCAGATTTCTCAGAAATATTTGTATTCATGGCCCACTAAGTGATTACTACTATTATGTTATCTTAATAGCAAGTCTTACCAGATGACTTCCTGTAGAAGTCAGTTACTTAAATATGTCATGGCAAGGAAATGCTTCAACAGTTTGATTTTTGTATCCATTGATCATGCACATGTGGACTTAAATATAGTGAAGTGTCACATGCCAAGAAATATAGATGTAGGCTTCAGTCTCTTCATACATTCATAGAATTTAAGGCAAAAAAGTACCATTAGATCTGGTCTTACCTCCTATACGTCACAGGCTATTCAATTTCACCCAGTTACCCTTCTATTGATCTCAATAATTTGTGTTTGGCACAATGGAGAAACCACTGCTTCTCTTTGTAGTTTGTTCCAATGGTTAATCAACCTCACTGTTAAATTGTGCCTTGTTTCTAATCTGATTTTGTGTGGCTTTAACTTCCAGCCACTCCCTTCTAACTATAGTGAAAGGGAGGGTAGTTTCAAACACCCCACATTGGGAACACTGGCTTTAAAAGATTTGGGAAAATACCATAAAATCTTGGAAAGCAATTAGCTTTGCAACCATTACAAAAATACTCGTTTGTAGAACACCTACTTCTATCAGTCACAGTTAGCTATTCAAGAAATGTGTGCAAATCCAAGCTAAGGCCACTTTGGTAATCTAGCAATAGTACAACATGATGCCATGCAGAACATACAAGTAGTTCAGATCACAAGTAAGCCCAGCATTCCCACCTGCCTTGAAGGCAGGGGACTGGACTAGAAGACCTCGAGGTCTCTTCTAGTCCTACAATTCTATGATTCTATGACAGGACAGCAAGACTAAGCATAATAAAGCAAGATCCAGCAAGCACAATAAAGAGCATATCCAGCCCTTAGGAGCATTAATGGAGCTAGCACACTCCACCTCTGTGGGTATCAAGTGCCCCTCTGATTCAACAGCACCCTAAAGCCACTGTATGAAATGGCAGTGACAAGCTATGGTAGGAGACATCATCAAGCAGGGGAAAGGAAGCAATTAGCCATGCAAGGAGCTCTGGAAGACCTTCCTCTCCTGATCCCAAAATAATCAAGCAAAAGGCATCTACTGTCAAAGGAGAGAGAGCAGACATTTCACAAAGTTTAAGGCTTCTAATATAATCTATATCCCATTGACACCCACTAGAGTACTGCTCCTGCACTAATCCTTTTCTGGAAAGGAACAAGAACATTTACATCTCGTACTTACTAGGAGGTGGATCATGTTCTGTGGAAGACTCTCGACAAAATCCTACAAAGGGAAAAAATAAGTATCAGCACCGAATGTTTTGTTTTTGTCTTTTTAAATTGTTACATCTTACTTACTGCCACCATGAAAAGGCTGAGCAATTCACCTCAGTTTTTAACAGTTTGAACAATTTTGCATATACAACATTAAACCAGATTTAAGTAATAGTTGCAGAAGCATTACATCTTCTAGAATCCAGATAGACAATGCTGCTGTAACTCAACTTTATACATTAAGATCCAGCTGCTGAAATAACATCAAGTATCAAATAGTGATGCTTAGAGAACTTATTACACCATATTTAGGCTACATATCAGTTATCCATTTAGACACAGCCATTCTTCATATTAAACACAGTGAAATACTATTTATTGGGAATATATATATATCTTGTAAACTTGCACTGATGCATCATAACTGAGGGGGCCACAAGGTTTCCTCTGCTGATACAAGTGAGTACGTGACAATTTAATCTGTTTCCCATAGTCATAGTCCAGTGCCGGGCACTGGGAAGCTCAGATTGTGTGTCTGGCACATAGAGAACTACACATCTTGTAAGAACTGCTGTTATATATCCAAACACAGGCCTGTTAAAGCCTGCATGTCTGTAGTCCCACAAGAGTACACATCAGGGATTACGCAACTCTTCTCAATTATTTTTCAGAAAGATAAGGAGTGAGATGGATGCTACTGCATTGAAATATTGTATTTCACACCATATATATATTGCCAAATATGGAATCCAAAACATTTCCACCTACTAAGATACATCTCCCCATGAAATTTCTTCTTTGATTAAATTGCCACATCTTGAAAGGCAGATGGGGAATAATTTATAAATTCAAAGTTACTATTTATCTCCACTCCCAGTCAGTCAATAAATATAATAATTGGGGGGAAGGGGGAGGAGGAAGTTTTGAAGAGTAGAACTCTACATGATTACAAACATGTTTTTTCTTCTGTGAATTTTCTCCATACATTATTAAATAATGTAATGCAGGCTATTTTTTGTAGATCTCATCTTAACCACCTCCTAACTCATGCCCTAAAACTTAAACACTAGTGTCCTCAAGCAACAACAACATGTCAAAAAGAAAAAGAGCAGTGCTGCTAAGTCTTGTTTAAATCATGTGGGAAGTCGTAAGGATCTCATGCAATTTCCATAATCCATTTTTTAATCTCCTATCCAAAACCACTACTTTATTTTTTAAATATAACAAGGCACATACTCCACAATGAAAAGCTTACAATAAGATAGAGTGAAGACTAAATTGTGTTCTAACATGTAGCTAGACCTAGTTCTTTCATAGTGGCATTTAGATGTTAATATTGTTTGCTTTTTCAAAAATTCTAGTACTTTACAAAGTTTCAAACAAGCCCGTCAGAAAGTGCTAAAAGCCATGCTCCACTGAAAAACACTAAAACTGGGATAAAAATTCAATATTCTGCAACCAAAATATCTCAATGGTGCTAAAACATTCCCAGCATCAACACAGCTACCTAACTAGTTTATTGCAAATCAGTGACACAATTATCTGTTAAATGGACTCCCTGAGGCAAGCCTTATATACAGAGTCTTCTACAGCTTTCCAGTATCACTGGAACCCTTCCTACTTTATTGTTGGTCTTCCCAACACAAGTCTTTCAGGCTTCTATTGTTAAAGGGAGAAGCTTACATTAAGGAGTTCAGCTACCCTGGTATGGGGATTGTGTGATAGACAAGGAGAAGTGTCAAGGGAAATCCAATTGTTGTGACCACCTACCTCCCTGCCTACTTCCCACCATGTTTACAAATGGTATTAGCTCCTGCCGTGTGCAATTCCACAAGCACTTTATCTTTGTGGCTCATTCCAGCCACATCTGCCTTCTGCTATTATCTCATGTTTGTAGGATGCCATCTCTGTCATTAGCTTTCATTTTAGATATGGTGACACCATTCTAAAAACCATCTTTTGATGACAAAACACTTGAAATCATTCAAAGCAGAAGTAAAAGCATCATGTTTTAAAGTAACTTTTCCAGTTGTACCTGTTAATCATTTTTCCCCCCACACTAATTGAATCTAAATTTCCAAATACTTTTTTTTTTTTAAACCTCCACTTTAAAAATCTTGGGAAAAGAACTTCATGGTAAATTTAATACACTCTGCTGCTCCAAATAGAGAAAAATCTGTTATTGTAACTGCAGTTCTATTCAGAACCATGACTTTATTTAAAAAATAGTATAGTGATCTATGCTTTTCCTCAGTGATTTCTTTATCAAATTCAGACAGCAAGTTTAAAAAGATTTTTTCTAACTTAGTTTTCAAGCTTGGGTTTGTTTTTTAAAAAAAAAATTAAATTTTATAATACTGAAGTGATTGTTACATCAAGTGTTGCTAAAATAAATCTTTCCATAATTCATCTCACTGTAGCTGAATTACCTATAAGGAAGACATGAAGATGTTTGAATACATATAGAAAAGCTGACTTTTAAACATGTTTTTAGAGAAACAGACTAAAAATTCAATTCTTGCATATTGTAGCTTGACGGATGCATCACAACAGATGAAAGGCAGTCCAAGAGGCTTATGTCTGTATACTTGCCTAGCTCCCACAAGTGTAAAAGAGGATTAAGTGCACCAATGAAAATAGACCCCCTTTTGTACACTGCTATAGTATGACATGGGTACAGTCCATTTCAAGAGACATTTACTTTGAGTAATGAACTGAAACATATGACTAAAGAAAAATCACAATATGAACCCCACGTTTACAATACATTTTTCCATCAACACTGACAGAAAAGATGCTTACATAACATTCTGTCACTTATTTCTTGTGAAAGACATCCATAGAATCCAGTGAACTCCAAAGGTTAAAAGGGGCCCTATTAGTTCTGCACTGACCATACTATAATTCTCTAAGTCTGCCTTGGGAGCTCCTACACCTTTATATTCTGGCAAATTCAATTTAACCGTTATTCATGGAGTTGAGCACTGATGCCCCAACCATCTCCCCGAACTCCACCCTGACATCTGGAGCACTTCTGACCCAGCACACGCCAAACAACAGCTACCATTCAACCATTACACACCAGTGAACAAGAACATATGCTTATAAAGGGAAGTCTGTGAATAGCCAGAATCCGAGGACACTCTTGGACAAAGGCCCACATAAAAATGGATGGTCATTAAGCCTAGACTTTTTTTTATTTACTGTTTGTGATGGGAGATGGCCCAAGTATCCTGAGAAGCTAAGTCCTACTGATAGCTTGAAACAAGAGGTATTACAGAATGGCAATGTACTCAAAAAGAAAAGGAGGCAGTTTAACAAGAGGCAGGGAATATTTATTTGTATTATTCATGGTGGGCAATTGAGACTGGCATAATACCTGGGCATATGGTAAGAGGAAAAAAAAAGTATCTTATCATTCAGGGATATATTCAAAGCTTCCAGCAATTAAGTCTGTAAGATGCTTGTTTGCAAAGCATCTAAATGCTGCACAAAACTATACAACATCTGATTAAAAATAAAGAGCCAACCAGTCTAAATACACAGACAATTTCAAACTAATCCAGCAGAGCCACCCATCAACAAATGGTCACACTCTCACTGGTACCAAGAATAAAAAAAAAAAAAAGAATAAGATGTAAACTAAAGAAAAAAATCCTCCCTCCTCCCCCTAGATAAAGTGGTCAGAAGTAATCTAGCTAAAATAAAAATGACCTCCAGCATGCACTAAACAAAGAACTCTGGTGCACCTCCAGGTCTCTGTATGGAAGGAGTCTTGACCCCTGTTCAGCCCTTACTGGACCTGGAGATACCAGAGAGAACTGAGGGTATGTCTACACTTCAGATGGGAGCAACCCCCTGCCCCGTGAGACTCTAGCAGGGCTCAAGCTAGTGCGCTAAAAATAGTAGCGTGGATGTTGAGACTCTGGCTGCGAGCCGGGTTTAGCCATCGACGCTCAGGCACACACAGTTGGTCAGCAAGCTTGAGAGCCCAAGCTGCCACCTGAGCCACAGCTACGCTCTTTTTAGCACACTAGCTCAAGCCCTGCTACTGCAAGTCTGTCTACCTGTGCTGCGACGCTTGCTCCCACCTGCAATGCAGGAACATCCTGACTGAGCCAAGCACCTAACTACTAAGCAAAACTGGAGCAACTCGCAAGTAACCAGGCCTAATAAGTTATAAAGGGATTCAGTTATAGGACTGAACCACCCCTGAATCATACTCCTGACACACTGCAAGTGGCACAGCTTGCACTTGGTGGGCATTACAGATTCCCTTGCTCCCATCTGAAGAATGCAGCAGAACATAACTGCTCCGATCACATGACCTTCCCAGATTTAAAAAAAAAAAAAAAAATTTATGAACGTAAAAGCCCCTTTTGATAGAGGGCACTGAGCACCAGAGAGACTACCTTCAACAACTGCCTGTTACACCCCTCAGCACCAGGTACAGTACTATCACCCTGTGTAATATCACAAGCTACTCTGTAGCTAGGAGAAGTTAGAGAGATGCTTACAGATCTAGTGACAAATTTTCATTCAAAGACAAAGAAAGAACTTCTCCACCCGTAATTGATCAAGAGCCACTACTCACTATTACCTCAAACAGATTGCTGTAGAAGAGGAGCCCCAGCGCTTTGGAAACTCATTAGCAGAGAAACAAGACAATGGGATCAGTTTCTCTCCTCCTGCTGTTCTCATACCTTATCAATGGGCTCCCCTCTAAGTATCAATGGGTTAACCCTCACATAGCCACCCTGAACAGCTACTTACTTAGTTTTTACATGCAGTGCCTAAACATAGAACAAACAGATGTTGAAGTATGAACTGAAAACCCTGTAATTTTGTTTTTTTAAATCAAATAAATTTATACTTCAGCTGCAACCATTTTGAACGCAAGATGCTCGCTGGATTAATTGGGTTATTAGAAATAAATGTATGCACACTAATCCTTCCAATTTCCTGGTTAGTCATTAATGCCTACAGCACTGTACCCATCTCCTTGTTTCA